CATATGTGTAAAGAATCCTTAAGACACACACTTTTAAGGCAACATAATTATGTTATAATTTAACAACTAATGAAATAAAATTAATAATTTCTTAATGGAATTAGTATTTGTGGTGTAAAAGAGGGACTGGTGAAGCGACAAAGGGACAGAAAAGAAAAGAAGCAAATTTTTATGACATTAAGGGCAGCTAATAATAAGTTTATTAACAATATCTTTTTGTCTTCATTCTTTAAGCGACAATTTCTGTTTTATTGTTTAGCGTTACCAACTTTACACAAAAAGTGATGCCCACTTACAACTTTAACCTTTTGCAATTAATTTTACATTAAAATTTAATAAACATTTAATAACTTTGCAATTAAATTATGTTTAAATTATAGAAAAATAAATCTCTGCAAAAAAAAATATGCATTAAAAATAAATAAATTATAAAAAAAAATTAAACGTGTTTTCTGATTATCTTAGCAAAATGTCAAATGGTGTGTAAAAAAAAGGAGTGCTGCTGCTGCTGTTGCAGTTTTGCTAACTAAACTCACTCTCAAACTTTTGCAATGACAAGCCTGCCTGCCTGACTGCTGCATGACGTTTTAACTACTTAACCAACAGATTTAGTTGCTTTTTCAGGCACAAAAATTAAAATAAAAGAATTATATGAAATGCAATTAAAAAATCAAGCATTTAATGGGTTTTCATTTTCATGTTTGCTTTGTTATTGTTGTTGTTGTTATTTTTGCAGTTGCTTTTCAAGCTTAAGCATTGATTATATTAAATGCCATAATGTTTAAATTATACACACTTTTATGCAACAACAATAATTTTAATGTTTTTTTTTTTTTTTTGCAATTTTTCCTTTTTTTCTGTTTAATTTCATAAAACATTGCGTGTCTGACATTTAAAACAAATAAATATTTGATTGTCAATTTTGTGCGAGTAGAGATTTTAAAGTTGTTTTGGGGGGAAAGGAAACAACTAAATGGGGGGAATAAGTCATTAAACTAGTGGCATCTTTGTGGGATAAAATGTTTACATTGCGACTAGTGTATAGTAAAGAGAGTAAGGGAGGGAGGGAGCAGTATAATTGCATAACACCAGACACGTTTTAGTATAATGAAAAGTCATAAATTTGTATTATTTAAATAAATAAATTAAAACAAAACTTTAGTTTTAATAGTTTAGCATACATACTGCAAAAGGTGGCAACGCTTTAAAATACAAATTATGATTTCTTTAAAAACTAAAAGTAAAATTGCTCTTAAAAAGACAAAATAACCAAGAAAAGTGTTTTTTAACCCATAACTAAACAATTTAAAGTAAATTTTCCAAAAAAGGTGGCAACTCCTCAAGTCACAAAATTTAAATTTTTCTAAAACTCTGGAAAATTGTTACATCATTTTAGTTCTAGTAAAGAAAAGTAGCAATGTAAACCATCTTCTAGAATAATTAAAAAATTTTAAAGAAAATGGTGGCAACGCCTTATAATGAAAATTTAAATTTCTTAGAAAAATATACAAAAATTATCTTTTTCAAAGGTCAAACTAATAAGAAAAACCAGTTCTGCACCAATTTAAACAATTTGAAGCTATAGCTTTCTATAAGGTGGCAACTCCTTACAAAAGAAAGTTAAAAATTCATATATTATACAAGAAATTTTCGCATATGCTTTAACATTTATTTCACATAAAACTAAAAATTCGTAATATAAGTAATTTTCCTCAAAAATAAAAGCTATTTTCTTAAAAAAGTGGCAACGCCAAATAATAAACTCATTATTTATTAAGGAAATTTACAAAAAATTACTTTTAAAAAACTCTATAAATAAGAATAATGCATTTTAAATGTTAGTTAAGAATATAAAGTATATTTGCATTATTAGGTGGCAACTCCTTAAATATGAAAATTAAAAAATTTGCAATATTTAAGAAATTTTTCAAATTTTTGCTTTTCTAACACAAAATAAATAATATAACCTATTTCTTCAAAAAAATAAAGCCTGTTTTTATAAAAAAGTGGCAACGCCATATAATGAAACTTGTTATTTATTAAAGAAATCAAATGAAATTGTCTTCTGAAGAAGCGAAACAATAAAAAAATATTATTTTAAAGCTAAACCCGCAATTTAGAAAAAATTAGAATAAGGTGACAACATCTGCAATTCAAAAATGAAAATTTTTATATAAGTTAACAGAATGTTCACTTTAATGTTAAAAAAAGCTGATAACATTTATCACTTAACACATTTTCTTTAATAATTTTCTAGATTTGTCATAAAAGGTGGCAACACTGATTACAAAAAATTTTTGATTTGTTTAAAAAATTTAATGAAATTGCAATTTAAAAGAGATTTATTGCTCAGAAAATTAGTTTTTGTGATAAATAAACAACTCTGAAGAAATTTTTCCTAAAAGGTGGCAACACGTTATTATAAAAATGTTGATTTCTTAAAATTTTTCAATGAAATCATATTTTAAACAGATTAAGAAAATACTGAAATAAACAACTCAGAAGGTATTTTTCTTAAAAGGTGGCAACACGTTATTATAAAAATGTTGATTTCTTAAACAGTTTTTAATGAAATCATATTTTAGAGTGATTAAGCTTAAAACAATACGTTTTTTTAGCTAAGTAAACAATTTAAGAAGAATTTTTTGGAAAATGTGGCAACTCCATAAAGTCAAAAATTTATATTTTATAAAAAAATGTTGTGAAATTAAGCTTTAAAAGCCTCAAATTATTAATATAAGCGATTTACTTAAAGAATATTTAAGATTCACATAAAAAGGTGGCAACGCTTTTAAATAAAAATGTTGGTTTTCTAAAAAAAATTTAAATAAATTGAAATTTAAAGAGCTTAAGGTTTGAGAAAACATGTTTCTGTAATCAAATGAGCAATTTGCAAGGAATATTTTCAAAAAAGTGGCAACGCTTTATAAGAAAATTTCCAATTTTAAACAAAAAGTACTTGAAAATGTGTTCTATAAGCCTTATATCGGTGATAAAGGTTATATTTATTAAAAATTTTACAATATTACGTAATATGGTGGCAACGCTAAGATATACAAATGTTTGTTTCGTAAAGCATTAGTATTTTAGAAAACTTATTGTTGCAGAAAATAAGGTTGAGCAGTTAAATAAGCAATATTATGAAGATTTTTGTGGCAAGGTGGCAACCTTAAAAAGTAAAAATAGCTAATTTTAAAGAAATTTTTGTGGAATCTTGTTTTTAAAGCCTAATTAAGCAAGAAAATAAGGTTTAGTAGTTAAATAAGCGAAAATGTGAAGAATTTTCTAAAAAAGGTGGCAACGCTAAAATTCAAAAATTGCTAATTTTAAAGAAATTTTTGTGGAATCTTGTTTTTAAAGCCTAATTATGTAAGAAAGTATTATTGGTTAAAAACTTTTACAGTTTTTCATAATAAAAATGGTTGCTTATAAGGAATTTTTGTTCTAAATTGATCTTAAACAAACTTTAAGCATGATAGCCATAAATTGCCTACTATTAACGAGTGTGTGTGAGTGTAAAATAGAGGATCATCTTCCATTTTTGTGGCTTACAATAGCAACAACTGCAACATATCAAACACATTTTTAGCAGCTGTGCAATAAAGAGTTGAAAACCACAAAACGATGAATGCTAAAAATGATGATTTGTACAAATTTGTTTTTTTTTGTGGATATTTTTTATTATTTTGTTGGTTGTGTAACACTTTTTAACGATTGTTTATGGTTGTTGCTGTTGCAAGAGGATTACTACAAGACTTAAATTAAAAGTTTGGTTCGGTTTTACTTTATGGATGAAAAGATTAGGCAACAGCAAAGAAACATTAAAAACAACATTTAAAAAAATGAATTGTTTGCTAAAAAAATTATTAGAAAAATATTGTGGTTTAACTCAACCAACCAATTTTTATAATGTCTATCATCTGTTTCTGAAAAAATACGCCTTTAGCTTTTAAAAGCTCATTTAGGTCATAGCAAAGTGTTCAAATATTTTGAAAATTTTAAAGAAAATTTTGTTGAAAATGACATCTTTTCTGATGATGAGTAAAATTGAATTTTCCATTCCCACGTTTTTCTTAGGAAAATAGAAATTGATTTGATTTGTTAAAAAAGAAGAAAAAAAAACTGCTCAAACGTGTGGCAATTATTTGCGTTGAAATCATCTCTAATAGGGTTGAGATCAATATGAACTTTAACCTTTTGTCAGTGATCAAACCAAAAATGCCAACATAGTTAAACAGTGGGCAAATACATTGAAAAAAATTTAAGAAATTATCAAAGATTTCAATGAAAAGTCTTTAAAAAAGCTTATTTACACAAATAGGCGGCAACGCCGCAAAATAAAAGATTCCGTTTATTAATGAAACTTACAGAAACTCACTTTTCGGAGCTAAATGAATAAAAAAACTTTTTTTAAAGCAAATAAATACTTTTAAGCAAATTTTCAGTAAAAGGTGACAACACCGCAACACAAAAGATTTCGCTTAATAATGAGTTTAAAAGAAACTGCATTTTCAGAGCTAAATCGTTAAGAAAATTAGCTTTTTGTAGCAAAATTAACAATTTATGCAAATTTTCAGTAAAAGGTGGCAACTCTTTACAGAAGAAAATTGTAATTCTTCAAATTTTCCTGCTATTTTTGAGATATACTTAAAGATTTATTAATTTTTATAGAAAATAAAGCATATTGTTACAAAAAGGTGGCAACGCTAGGTAATAAAAATTATTATTTATTAAAGAAATCACATGAAATTGTATTTTGGACACCTCAAAAAATAAAAACAATTCCATTAGAAGCTTTAAATTTAAAGTGAATTTTATGAAACAGGTGGCAGCACTTTATAAACAAAAATAAAAACGTTAGCATTTTTTCAGCATTTTTAAATTTTCTTTCAGTTTTATTATTAATCGCAGAAATAAAAGTTATTTTATAATTCTATTTATATTTTTTCACTCTATTTCAGTTTTAGCAATTAAAAATTTAAATACTTGTAATGATCTGTAATATGGCAACTCTACAAAAGATTGTAGTAATGTGTTATGTGGCAACTCTAAAAACTCATTAAGCCTTTGTCAGATGGAATGCAACCTGGCCTTTTTTGCATTTCCGTTTTAAGAATTATTATTGTAAGCCATTCTAATCAGAAAGGAACATAAATAAAAAAACAAATAAGCATCCTTTACAACATCAGGTGTGGGGTGCATCTTAGTAAAGCAGCTCAATGATGGATCTAAGACCTAGTCGCCAGACAATGACTGATGCATTAAATGCAGCCGGCATCGAGTTCCCTTCTTCTGCGACGCTGAGCCAACTACGAGGCTTATATGAAGCGCTAATGACACAACAAAGCAACCACGCTTTAAAACCAGCAAGCGAAGAGGATACAGTGGAAGACATGAACCAGTGCGCTGTCCAAGCAAATACTGATGCCGCTGAAAATACTATTAAGACACACGTTGTCGCAAATCCTGCTGCACAACAGCAAACACGTGCTCTAGATCAGTACGCCGTAGAAGTCAACACTGAAGTCCACGTGCATGATGCCGCTGAAACTGAAGACAATGTAACTGCTGTCCCGAAGCCCGCTGTAATTGCTGCCGCTGCCAGAATGCACACTGGAAAAACTTATGATTTTCTTCCAGATACCGCATCTGCTACAGGGTCCGACGAAATAAAAAAATTACAACTTCGTTTACAGATGTTACAACTACAGCAACAAATACAGGCCCTAGAAGAGGGCTTATCATACCAATCTCCTGTACGCAGAATGGACTGGATGGAATTGGACGCTGCTGTTCCTATATTTAGCGGTGACGACAACCAAGACATAAACCGCTGGTTCGTAGTCTTTGAAGATTATGCGGGGATGTTTTCCGAAAAGGAAAAATGTGCAGCCATACGCCGACGTTTGGAAGGAACGGCCAAACAGTACGTTACAAACTTAGGCCTGTTACAATTTGATGACTTAAAAGCTCGCCTAACAAGAATGTTCAAACGTACAGTTTCCCGGCAAGAGGTATACAGGCAACTACAGCAAAGAAATTTAAAGCCTGACGAGTCGTGCCTCAGCTACGTGGTGGCTATGCAGTCAATCGCTGCTAAAGCTGATATAGAGGAGCAAGAGCTAGTGGACATAATAATTGATGGTGTCCCTAAGAATGACAACGCAGTCAATATGCTCTACGGCGCCAGTAGTATGGACGACTTACTACGTCGTCTGGATAGGTATGAGTGCCGCCGTCAACAACGCCGCGTTCCGTTAAAGACTGTTACCGCAGCTAAACCGATGCCTTCTGAAACCACTGGTAATAAATCGACTGAAGCTGAGGTCCGCTGCTACAACTGCTCGCAATTTGGACACTACCAAAGTCAGTGTCAGAAGCCCAGACGTCCCCCGAATTCATGTTTCGTGTGTGCAGAGATGGGACATTTCCACAAAGACTGTCCGAAGAAGAAGACTGCAGTTGGAGCCATAAATATTAAGGGTATTGATGCATTCCAATCGGTAAGTGTTGCCTTCAGACAACAAAATAAGCGCACTGATGTTATTAAATTTTTTTCTTTGCTTGATACGGGTAGCCCAATTAGTTGTATAAGTGAATCACTAGTACCGTTTGCAATCCCTATTAATAAAACTGTACCTACATTTCGCGGCGTTGGAAACAAAATCATAAATATAATCGGTCGTGTTGGATGTGACATATTTTTTCAAAATAAAACAGTAGCGGGTGATTTATTTGTTCTGCCGGATTCCGAAGCCATAGTGCCACTTTTAATCGGGCGTGATGTACTTAATAAACTTAATATTCACTTATGCAGCAAAAAAATTTCTTATAATAAAAATGAATTGTTAAAATTGAATTTAAAAAATGGATACATTGACAAAAAAATACATCGTGCGCTTGTGTTGTTTAAATTATGTAGTAGTCCTGAACTTCCACCTGCGGTAGAGAATTTATTCGATGAACTTCCATTTGCAACGTGTAATAAGAATGATTTTATTGAACCGACTAACATTAGGAGAATTATTTCACCTGAAGTAAAACATCTAGCGAGTCGTGATAAAATTGCTTCTGAAAATGAGTGTAGTATAGTTGAAAACGTTGAAGATTTAGAAATTATTAACGAAGATGAGTATTGTGAGGAAAACATGGAAATAATTTGCAACGTTGAGGATAATACGAATATAGACATTGATGAGGGACTAGATACAGCGAGTGCGTGTACATTAAGGTCAATGTTAGAAACGCAGTATTTTGATAGATTGGGATCTCCTACAAAGATGGTAGATTATTGTATGGAAATTAGGTTAACCAATGATGTACCGATTTATAGTGGTCCAAGACGGCTTTCATACCGGGAAAAGTCTGAGGTTAAATTGAAATTAAATGAACTCTTAGAGAAGGGTATTATACGCCCTAGTGATTCGGCATATGCCTCGCCGATTGTGTTAGTGAGACGGAAAAGCGGGCAATTGAGAATGTGCGTAGACTACAGGGCCCTGAACAAGATTACACTAAAGGATAATTATCCCTTACCCATAATCGAGGATTGCCTGGACTATTTAGGTAATAAAAAAATTTTTTCGACCCTTGATTTAGAAAATAGTTTTCATCAGGTACCGATGCATGAGGATTCGATAAAATATACGGCTTTCGTCACCCCTTTGGGTCAATACGAATATTGTTATATGCCTTTCGGGCTAAAAAATGCTGGTGCTGTATTCCAGCGGTTTATTAATAAAGTTTTAAGAGATTTTATAGAATCAGGTAAGATTGTAGTTTACTTAGATGATATAATCATCGCCACTGAAACTTTGGAGGAACATGTAGGATTATTGTCGGACGTGTTAGGTGCTTTAAGTGAAGTAGGTTTGAGACTTAATATGAATAAGTGTAAATTCGCATATCGGGAAATAGATTATTTAGGTTATCGTGTGAACGAGATGGGCATTAGGCCTAATGAGGATCACATCAAGTCCATAAAAGAGTATCCTATGCCTACTGACTGTGAAGGGGTAGAGCGTTGTTTAGGACTGTTTTCCTATTTCCGAAGATTTGTACCGGACTTTTCGAGAATATCAAGGCCTTTGAATATGTTGAAGAAAAATGGAAATTTTAACTGGACTGACGAATGTAGAGACGCTTTCTTGACTCTGAAGGATCGATTGACGAATGCTCCTGTGCTGGCAGTATATGATCAGCAACGTGAAACAGAATTACACACAGATGCTAGTACTAAGGGCTATGGTTCAGTGCTCCTACAGAAACTAGGAGATGGTAAATTTCACCCTATAGCTTACTACTCTAAGTGCACATCTCCGGCAGAATCTAGGTACCATAGTTTTGAATTAGAAACCATGGCCATAATATATGCGTTAAGAAGGTTCCGTATATACTTAGAAGGAATCCCTTTCACCATTGTGACCGACTGTAACTCCCTTGCACTAACATTGAGTAAGAAATTAATAAACCCTAGAATCGCCAGATGGGCTTTAGAATTGGAAAATTATAATTATAGCATTAGGCATAGAAGAGGAGAATTGATGACTCACGTCGATGCACTCAGCCGCGAACCAGTTATCGGGGTTATCGATGAGAATGAAGTCGACGTAAATATTCAGATTACGCAATCTAGGGATCCGAAGATACAGGACATTAAGATAGCACTTGAGCATGGTGAAAAAGAGGGGTTTTTGTTGGACAATAGTTTAGTGTTTAGAATAGGTAATCAGGGACAAAGACAATTATACGTGCCGGAGGAATTAGAAGAAAACATAATGAGGTTAGTACATGAGAAGTATAGTCATGTTGGTATTGGGAAATGTATGGACAGGATAAGCAAATATTATTGGTTCCCTAATATGAAGGACAAATTAAATAAATTCATAAGAAATTGCCTTAAATGTATTTACTATTCGGGCCCACATAAAAAAAATGAACGAAACCTATACAACATCGAGAAGAAGGCTATCCCTTTCGACACCTTGCATATCGACCATTTTGGTCCTTTACCAGCAATTAGATCCAAGCGTAGACACATACTAGCAGTAGTAGATGCATTTACAAAATTTACTAGGCTTTACGCTGTAAACTCGCCAGGGACAAAGGAAGCATGTTGTGCCTTACGAAAGTATTTTAGGGACTATAGTCGACCTAGGCGAATCATTAGTGACCGCGGTACGTGTTTTACTTCCGATGAATTCAATAGATTTGTAACCGAAAGAAATATTATTCATGTGAAAACTTCAGTAGCTTCCCCACAGTCGAACGGCCAAGTAGAAAGGATAAATAGAGATTTGAGGGCTATGCTATCGAAACTATCTGAGCCAACGGAACATTGTGATTGGACAGATAAACTGTCGCAAGTGGAGTTTGCCATCAACAATTCGCTGCACAGTGCTACGAAACAATCGCCGGCTATCTTACTATTTGGAGTAGAACAACGAGGAGAGATAGTAGACGAACTGACAGAATACTTACAGGACAGATACGAGGATAGTAATAGGGATCTAAAGGTAATGAGGGAGGATGCATCAGAAAACATAAAAAAGTCTCAGGAGAATAACTTAAAGTATTTCCATGTTCATCACAAACCGCCAAAATCGTTCAAACCTGGAGATTTAGTTGTTTTAAAGAATGTTAATACAACCCCAGGAGTCAATAAGAAATTAATACCGAAGTACCGCGGCCCATACATCGTTCAGAAGCAATTAGGAAATGATCGTTACGAAATATCTGATGTAGAAAATTGCCAGGTGACACAATTACCCTATAAAGGTGTAGTAGATTCGACTCGATTGAAAAAATGGTTGGAAGTAAAGGACTCGGTAAAAAACAAATTATCTGAAACTGAAGGCAACACGAGTGAATACGAAGACTATGAGTTTCTAGAAGATGAATTTTTACAAGACTTAACGCAATCGAGGTCGATTGCCTAGTCAGGTTGGCCGAGATTGTAATGATCTGTAATATGGCAACTCTACAAAAGATTGTAGTAATGTGTTATGTGGCAACTCTAAAAACTCATTAAGCCTTTGTCAGATGGAATGCAACCTGGCCTTTTTTGCATTTCCGTTTTAAGAATTATTATTGTAAGCCATTCTAATCAGAAAGGAACATAAATAAAAAAACAAATAAGCATCCTTTACATACTAGTTATTTTTTTCTTAAAGTAAAATATTTGCATAAAAAGGTGGCAACGCCGTATAATAAAATGTGTTATTTAATAAACAATTTTGAGAAATTATATTTTAAATAGCTTATGTAACAAGAAAGTATTGTTTAGAAGCTAAATTGTAAATTTAAAGTGAATTTTACATAACAGGTGGCAACCCATAACAGGTGGCAACCCTTAATAAACTAAATCACAAATTTTATAATTCTATTACATTTTTTTATTCTATTTCAGTTTTAGCAATTAAAAATTTAAATACTAGATAGTTTTCTTTAAAAAAAAATAAAAAAAATTACATAAAAAGGTGGCAACACCATATAATAAAATGTGTTTTTTAATAAAAAATTTTGAGGAATTATATTTTAAATAGCTCAAGCAACAAGAAAGTTTTATTTAGAAGATAAATTATGCATTTAAAGTGAATTTTACATAACAGGTGGCAACCCTTAATAAACAAAATCAAGATTTTTATAATTATATTCAATTTTTTCACTCTATTTCAGTTTTAGCAATTAAAAATTTAAATACTAGTTATTTTTATTTAAAAAAAGGAAAAATTTCATAAAAAGGTGGCAACGCCATATAATAAAATGTGTTATTTAATAAAAAAATAAATAGCTGAAGCTTTACGAAAGTATTATTTAGAAGCTAAATTATAAATTTAACGAGAATTTTACATAACAGGTGGCAACACTTTTAAAAAAAATAAAAATTTTACTTTTTTAAATTTATTTTCGCATTACAGGTTCAGCAATTAAAAATATAAATTAAATTTAAAAAATATTAATTATTTTCCATAAAAAATTTAAACATTTTCATAAAAAGATGGCAACTCTAAATGCTAAAATGTTTTTTATCAAAAACAAAAACAAGAAAAATGTTATTTTAGAGAGCTTTAGCAACAAGAATAGATTTAGCAAGTTAAATTTAAAATTTTAAGCTAATTTTATGTAACATGTGGCAACTAAAATAATTAAAGGTTTGCCTAAAAAGGTGGCAACGCTATATAATAAAAGTTGTAGAAATTTAATGCTTTGTAATTTGATAGAACTTAAACAATAAGAAAATCTTATTTACAAAATAAATTATAAATTAAAAATGAACAGATGGCAGCCCTTTGTACACAAAAATAAAAATTTCAAAAATTTGTTTAATAACTTTTTATTTCCTTCGAAGTTTTTAAAAATTTTGATTTTTTTTTCATCCCTAACTCCCACTGTCTTAAGATATGATCTCTCTTAAACATAAATAGCAACAACAACATTAAAATTAATAAACAACATTGTTGTTTATATGGCAACCTTTAACGGTTAATGTTTGGTTTCTTATTGTTATTGCTGTGGATGATTGGCAATTCAAACAAAAAACGTGACTTAATATAATAACAATAATAATAAAATAATAAAATAATAAAAATATAATGTTAGAAAATAAATAAATAAATTTAATTAACAAATATCTCACTTTTCAAATGCAATTTTTTCTTATTTTATAAAATAAACCATAAAAATAAAAACCAAAATTTTATAAATTTATAAAATTTTAATTGCTTTAATTGCAAACAAATGCATAAATAAATAAATTTTGCCAACAAGTGTCAAATCAAGTTTTACTAAATGTCTATATGTACTTGTTAAACCTCCCAAAACTGTATTGAAATTTGTTCGAATTAAAATAGTTTTCTTAAGTAAAACAATTTGTTGTTTTTATTGGATTTTCTTAATAAATGTTACCTAAATTGGTTGGTTGTTTAACATTTCAATTTGTTTGTTGCATTTAAACAAGGTCCATAAATAAAGATATATTTATTAAAAACAAACACTTGGCAATTTAACAAATTTAAACTTGGCAGCACTTTAAAAGAGGGTGTTCATGAGTAATAGGGATGCCAGTTTGAGGAATAAAAATAACAGGCAATTTTAGAAACATTTAAACGTAGATACACTTTAGAACCTCATTAATCATTGTTTTCCTTATAAATAAAACAATTTTAAAATAAAAGTTGGCAACGCCTCATAATGAAAATATTTGTTTATTGAAGCAAAATGTTAAAATTGTTCTCAAAATAGCTTAAACTGCAAGCTTAAGATTATTAGAAACTAAATAAACCATTTAAAATGAAGCTACCTAAAAAGTTGGCAACACTCCCCATAATTTGGCAACAGTTTAAAAGAGCCAAAAAAGAATTTAATCACGATACATCATAATTTAGATAATTTTAATTTAATTTAATTAATCACGATACATCATAATTTAGATAATTTTAATTACTTGTATGTAAAATTAGTAATTTTTTCATAAATAATCATGATTTTAGGAACAAGTTGGCAACGCAATATATAGAAATGTAAATTTTCAAAGAAAAAAATATAATATTTATTATTATTTCTATCCATTTGACTTCAATCTATGATAAAATCAATTATTTCATAAAACAACTTGAATTTAATAAAAATTTGGCAACGCGTAATTTCAAAAATTTGTATTTACGAAAAAAAACCTTCAAATTTTAGTTATATAAAAAATTTTAATATACAACACTTAATTTGTATAAATGTTATTGATTAACAGAAAAAGTTGGCAACGCTTTTTAGAAAATTAGAAAAAGTCGGCAACTCTTTAGAAGCGTTAAAGGAAAACTTTATCGCGATACTACATAATTTAAATAATTCGAATACCTGGTATGTAAAAGTTGTAATATAATCAATTATCCTTTTCAAATAATCTTGATTTCAACAATAAAGTTGGCAACGCAATAAATAAAAATGTTAATTTTCTACAAAAAAAGTAATAATTAAAACTATATCTATCCTGTTATTTGAAATTAATAAAAATAATAAATTTTGTTCTAAAGGGACTTAATTTCAATAACAAGTTGGTAACGCATAATATCAATAATATTTATTTATCAAGAAAACATGTTTAAATATAATTTTACACTCTAAAATTTAGAGTATAGAAAAATCGAATTTAAAAAAATGTTGAAAAGTCGACCTACAAGACTTTATCAACAAAATATATGACATTATCTTATCAAATCTTGCTAAATAATGCAACGCTGAATATATTGAGCATAAAAACGCTAGAAAGCAACACTTTAACAACTGTGTGGCTATAGTTCCATAAAAAAATAATTGTTTTTTACAATGTTGCCATATATGGTGATACCAAAATAGAGTTGCCATATTTTATAATTGAACAACAAATAAACAATGTTACCATATGGATTTATAACAGCAGCTAAAACAAAGTTGCCATAGAGTTCAAATAGAGAGATTATTCTACCAATAAATCCCCAAACTTGAAACGGAATCTTCAAATGTAATCAGAACTAAACAAGTTAAATTCAACTTATTAATAAAAACACTTACATAATCTTCACAAGTGAGAGCAAGTCTTTAACTCAGGCATGGGAAATTTAGTATTTTAGTACTTTTTCTAGTCTAGTCTATAGTCTAGTCTATGGTTAGTCTATAGTCTAGTCTATAGTCTAGTCTATAGTCTAGTCTATAGTCTATAGTCTAGTCTAGTCTATAGGTCTAGTCTATAGTCTAGTCTATAGTCTAGTCTAGTATAGTCTATATAGTCTAGTCTATAGTCTAGTCTATAGTCTAGTCTATAGTCTAGTCTATAGTCTAGTCTATCTCTAGTCTATAGTCTAGACTATAATCTAGTCTATAGTCTAGTCTATAGTCTAGACTATAGTCTAGTCTATAGTCTAGTCTATAGTCTAGTCTATAGTCTAGTCTATAGTCTAGTCTATAGTCTAGCCTATAGTCTAGTCTATAGTCTAGTCTATAGTCTAGTCTATAGTCTAGTCTATAGTTTAGTCTATAGTCTAGTCTAGTCTATAGTCTAGTCTATAGTCTAGTCTATAGTCTAGTCTATAGTCTAGTCTATAGTCTAGTCTATAGTCTAGTCTATAGTCTAGTCTATAGTCTAGTCTATAGTCTAGTCTATAGTCTAGTCTATAGTCTAGTCTATAGTCTAGTCTATAGTCTAGTCTATAGTCTAGTCTATAGTCTAGTCTATAGTGTAGTCTATAGTCTAGTCTATAGTCTAGTCTATAGTCTAGTCTATAGTCTAGCTATAGTCTATAGTCTAGTATATAGTCTAGTCTATAGTCTAGTCTATAGTCTAGTCTATAGGCTAGTCTATAGGCTAGTCTATAGTCTAGTCTATAGTCTAGTCTATAGTCTAGTCTATAGGCTAGTCTATAGGCTAGTCTATAGTCTAGTCTATAGTCTAGTCTTCTATAGTCTAGTCTATAGTCTAGTCTACTAGTCTATATCTAGTCTATAGTCTAGTCTATAGTCTAGTCTATAGTCTAGTCTATAGTCTAGTCTAGTCTAGTCTATAGTCTAGTCTATAGTCTAGTCTATAGTCTAGTCTATAGTCTAGTCTATAGTCTAGTCTATAGTCTAGTCTATAGTCTAGTCTATAGTCTAGTCTATAGTCTAGTCTATGTCTAGTCTATAGTCTAGTCTATAGTCTAGTCTATAGTCTAGTCTATAGTCTAGTCTATAGTCTAGTCTATAGTCTAGTCTATAGTCTAGTCTATAGTCTAGTCTATAGTCTAGTCTATAGTCTAGTCTATAGTCTAGTCTATAGTCTAGTCTATAGTCTAGTCTATAGTCTAGTCTATAGTCTAGTCTATAGTCTAGTCTATAGTCTAGTCTATAGGTCTAGTCTATAGTCTAGTCTATAGTCTAGTCTATAGTCTAGTCTATAGTCTAGTCTATAGTCTAGTCTATAGTCTAGTCTATAGTCTAGTCTATAGTCTAGTCTATAGTCTAGTCTATAGTCTAGTCTATAGTCTAGTCTATAGTCTAGTCTATAGTCTAGTCTATAGTCTAGTCTATAGTCTAGTCTATAGTCTAGTCTATAGTCTAGTCTATAGTCTAGTCTATAGTCTAGTCTATAGTCTAGTCTATAGTAGTCTATAGTCTAGTCTATAGTCTAGTCTAGGGTCTAGTCTATAGTCTAGTCTATAGTCTAGTCTATATGTCTAGTCTATAGTCTAGTCTATAGTCTAGTCTATAGTCTAGTCTATAGGTCTAGTCTATAGTCTAGTCTATAGTCTAGTCTATAGTCTAGTCTATAGTCTAGTCTATAGTCTAGTCTATAGTCTAGTCTATAGTCTAGTCTATAGTCTAGTCTATAGTCTAGTCTATAGTCTAGTCTATAGTCTAGTCTATAGTCTAGTCTATAGTCTAGTCTATAGTCTAGTCTATAGTCTAGTCTATAGTCTAGTCTAGTCTAGTCTATAGTCTAGTCTATAGTCTGTCTATAGTCTAGTCTATAGTCTAGTCTATAGTCTAGTCTATAGTCTAGTCTATAGTCTAGTCTATAGTCTAGTCTATAGTCTAGTCTATAGTCTAGTCTATAGTCTAGTCTATAGTCTAGTCTATAGTCTAGTCTAGTCTAGTCATAGTCTAGTCTATATCTAGTCTATAGTCTAGTCTATAGTCTAGTCTATAGTCTAGTCTATAGTCTAGTCTATAGTCTAGTCTATAGTCTAGTCTATAGTCTAGTCTATAGTCTAGTCTATAGTCTAGTCTATAGTCTAGTCTATAGTCTAGTCTATAGTCTAGTCTATAGTCTAGTCTAGTCTATCTATAGTCTAGTCTATAGTCTAGTCTATGTCATCTCTAGTCTAGTCTATAGTCTAGTCTATAGTCTAGTCTATAGTCTAGTCTATAGTCTAGTCTATAGTCTAGTCTATAGTCTAGTCTATGTCTAGTCTATAGTCTAGTCTATAGTCTAGTCTATAGTCTAGTCTATAGTCTAGTCTATAGTCTAGTCTATAGTCTAGTCTATAGTCTAGTCTATAGTCTAGTCTATAGTCTAGTCTATAGTCTAGTCTATAGTCTAGTCTATAGGCTAGTCTATAGGCTAGTCTATAGTCTAGTCTATATCTAGTCTATAGTCTAGTCCTATAGTCTAGTCTATGTCTAGTCTATAGTCTAGTCTATAGTCTAGTCTATAGTCTAGTTCATAGTCTAGTCTATAGTCTAGTCTATAGTCTAGTCTATAGTCTAGTCTTTAGTCCTGTCTATAGTCTAGTCCATAGTCTAGTCTATAATCTAGTCTATAGTCTAGTCTATAGACTATTTTAAATTTTAAATTTTCCATGCATTTTTATAACACAACAATACACAACGAAAACACAAACTAAAACTAAAGAGAGAACAACCAAAACAAGAGATACATATATTTACCTGCACTCATTTCCCCACAAAAGAAAACTACCAACAACTGGCAATACTTTTCTATCCCAATGCTTATTCTTCTTTTCGTAAACGGTTAATGTGGCAGCATTTTTATTAAATGACGTTTTTCTACAACTGGCAACTCCCTAAACAAAAACGAGCTGTCAATTGTGTAAAGTTAGACAAAAATATATTGTGTGTCGTTTGTTTTTTCACAGTGTTTTAATAAGTGTGTGGTGCGTTTTCTCTTTTTTTAATAAACTCCCAAGCAAATTTTAACTAATTAAACAAATCCCAACAATAACAAAGTTAATTAAAACAAAAATTAGTAGTAAAACTACTAAGCCGCTTAAGTGGTTAAAAAAACTGTTTAACAAAAACAAATCTTTACAAAACTCCAAAAAAAAAAAAAAAACAAAAAAGTGTTAATAATGAGCGATTTGGAAAATGCCAATTCCGTGTTTGATATAAGTGTTAAATTATGTGCTGCCATTGAAAAACACAAATGTCTTTACGATCGCAATTCGGTGCGTAAAAATTCTACGCCGGAATGTGAAAAAGCTTGGCAAGTAGTCGCCAAAGAGTGTAATCAAACCGGTGAGTGAATTTCCAAATAATTTTTTTATGTTTAAGAAAAGAAATTTTTAACTTACCACCACCATTTGTTGATATTTAAGTTGTTTTTATTTTCACTGTTGTTGTTGCCCTACATTTTTAGCAAGAAACACTACACACACACGTTTTGTTTTTGTTTTCTGATTTTTTTCTTAAACACCACACAAATTGCTTTTATTTTCTTCTACCTGCTTGTTCTTACTGTTTTAATTCATCTTGTTTGTTTACAGTTTGAAATCTATTGGTTTGTAGTTAAAGCAGTTGTTCTCTAACCAGAGCATTAATAATAGCACAGGGTTGTATTTGTGTCAGCAACAACTGTCAGTTACTTTGAGAAATTTTTACAGGGTTGTAGTTTTTGTGAAAAGACATTTATTTTGACAGTAAAATAGTTGGTAAAAGGAAATCTTATAAGAATTATTGATGTTAAATGGGTTTATTCGATTTTGTGTCTAATAAAAATAAATAACCAATTATAAAAACAAGCGGAGATATCATATAGAATATTAACTAGAGTCCACACTAGACTACAGCAGAACTAGAATGGAACTAGAACAGAACTACAACTAGATCAGAACTAGAAAATAACTAAAACAGAACTAGAACAGAACTGGAACTAGAACTGAACTAGAACCGAACTAGATCTGAACTAAAACAGAACTAGAACTGAACTAGGATTGAACTAGAAGTTAACTATAACTGAACTAGAACTAGAAATGAACTAGAACTGAACTATAACTGAACTATAACTGAGCTAGAACTGAACTAGAACTGAACTAGAACTGAACTAGAACTGAACTAGAACTGAACTAGAACTGAACTAGAACTAGAACTGAACTAGAACTGAACTAGAACTGAACTAGAACTGAACTAGAACTGAACTAGAACTGAACTAGAACTGAACTAGAACTGAACTAGAACTGAACTAGAACTGAACTAGAACTGAACTAGAACTGAACTAGAACTGAACTAGAACTGAACTAGAACTGAACTAGAAATGAACTAGAAATGAAGTAGAAATGAACTAGAACTGAACTAGAACTGAACTAGAACTGAACTAGAACTGAACTAGAACTGAACTAGAACTGAACTAGAACTGAACTAGAACTGAACTAGAACTGAACTAGAACTGAACGAGAACTGAACTAGAACTGAACTAGAAACTGAACTAGAAATGAACTAGAACTGAACTAGAAATGAACTAGAAATGAACTAGAACTGAACTAGAACTGAACTAGAACTGAACTAGAACTGAACTAGAACTGAACTAGAACTGAACTAGAACTGAACTAGAACTGAACTAGAACTGAACTAGAACCGAACTAGAACTGAACAAGAACTGGACTAGAACTGAACTAGAACTGAATTAGAACTGAACTAGTACTGAACTAGAAATTATTAAAACTGAACTAGGATTGAACTAGAATTGATCTGGAACTGAACCAGAGCAGAACTAAAATAGACTAGATCATGATTTAAACTAACTGTACTACTGTCTTTATATTAAAATACTAGATATTTCGGTTCGAATTATAGAGAAGTCTAGTCAATTGTCTTTACATTTACTATGGACTGTGGCTTTGAACACAGACTATACTATAGTCAGACTGTACTCCAGACTAACGTTCATAAATTGAAATATTGTTTTCCTTTTCTAGAAGACACTAGAATTAAACAGAAACTCCATTATTCAACTAAAAATCTAATTTTTAAAAATCCTACTAGACTTAACTTAATCTTTTTTGCACTTTTCAATCAGTTGATTATTGTAGAAATCGTTGGAAGAATTTACTCAGAGCCTTCTATCAGGGTATAAATCGACGAGGTAATCCCTATTATTTGCATGATTATATGAGCTATCTTTTGGAAGATGAAAATAAGGCAAAATCCAAACGTCAACCAGAAGCGACTTTAAATGATGAAACAAATTCCACTATTACGCATGATGATATAGTGAATGTAGATGATGATGAAGCTGAGGAAAGTGATAGTAATACCAATAGTGCTGATGAATCAAATGAAAAAATAGACGGAAACAAGAGCCAAGGGGGTGGTGGTGGTTTTATAATAGATGAAATCGGTGAAGAGGCGGGCGAGGGTGAAAATCGCGAAAGACGTTTAAGTTATAAACGTTCATGCAAAAGGGGCTTGGATCCTGAGTTATTGGGGGACTTAGGCGATGAAGATTCACAAGAACCGGGGTCTAAACGTTCACGTAAAGTGCTAAAGGAGGGAGGAAAACGTTCGGAACATAATGATTTAGAGTTATTGTCGAATAAAAAAGTTGTGGTTAGAATGGATAAAATTAAAATCAATAAACCATTTAATGATAATAAGAGTGCCGAAGAGTTAGAGGAAATGCGTTCTAAGATGATAAAGGATACGATGAATTCTACTGAGCGGTTTTCTATGGAAACAAAAACCTCTACTCCTAAAGCTGTTAAAATGGTGGATTCTAGTACTTCTACAGCAGTGGCTACTAGATGTATGGGAACACAGTATGAAAATTCTATTGATTTTATGGATTATGATGAAATTTTTATGCAATCAATTAAGCAACGTCTGCAGGAAATGAATGCTAGACAAAAAATGAATTTTAAAGCAAAAATTTATAAGTCATTATTAGAAGTATTCGATGATACGGCAGACTTTCCAGGATCAAATGAGGTACTTAAATTACCACATAAAAAACCGCAAGTGATTAATACTACCACGGGAGAGTTAAGATTAATGCGTGAATTGGTTTCTTTGGTACAGGCAGCCAAAAGTACACCTGAAATTGTAAATGCTAAGGAAAAAGTAAAAACGATTACGGCAATGGCTCCTGCTCCGGCTGCTCAAACGGTTCCAGCACCTATTGCCAGCAAAACTCCTATTAAATTGCCGATGCCTAATAATACTGACAATAGCTCAAAGGCACAAATATCCCCTCTCTCCCTAAGTCCCACTTTAGATGATGATGATTTTCAATTCTCTCTGGACAATATAGATGATGATGACGATCTAGATTTACCACGCACTTGGGAGGAGATCAAAGCTAAACCCTCAGAACCGGCAAAGACTGCAGCTAGCGTTACACCAACAGTAGAGGAAAATGTTATGGGTTTGCCACGGCGCATTTTGCAAAAAGTCGTAAGAGTTTCAGGCTCTTCTGGCAGTACTATAGTAGCTAGAGATGGTGATAGAAAACGTATTTATCGTATATATCCGAAAACAATGAATCCTAACAATAACACAACTTCTTCTACCATCGCTAATAAAAATACCAATATGGGCACCTTTTATGTCACACCAGCCAAGGGCCCAGGAGAAACAGGTTCAGCCCAAAACACTAATAAAAATCAGAGTAATATGTCCAATATAACTGTACGTTCATTTAATACTAATAACATTAATAATAATATAACTCCTGTAACAACTTCTAACTCTGATGCCACAACTTCTGCAAATAGCAGCAATCAATCTACTGCAACTAATTCAGGAAATCAAACAGCATTCAAAAATGTACACCCCGCTAATCGTATACTAAGCTCCACTACTGGTTTATTTAAAACGGTACCTTCGCCAAAACCTCTTACTAATCCCATTAATCAAAAACCTGCAAATGTACAGACAACCTCCAATTTCCCCACCTCCACTGTAACCAAAGTCACAGCGATGTCCAAAAATCCGATGTTGCCACCCACTTCAGCTAATCTCGCGGCTAAAAGACAAATAGTTCGTAGTCACATTAATGCTCCACAAATTATGCAAAGACGTTATTCTATATGTGGTCCTTTGCCGGCGGAGAAAACCCAACCTACTCCAACCACTATGACAGGCTCTCCTATTACTTCCAAAGGTTTAAATGCACTCAATAACAGACCCCAAACTCAGTCTTCAAATTCTTCTTCAGTGTCACAAATACAAATCTCACAACCCATCAGCCTTAATACCGCAGCCGCCAAAACCTCAAACACCCAAACCTTACCAACTAGAAGCGTATCTGATTACTCTACTCCAGTTGCTGATATAAAAATCTCTTTTAAAGAACCAGCTGCCAACAAACCTAAAACCCCAGCTGCATCCACCGAAGAAATACCCATTTTAGAGACCGCCGGCACAGTGGGTGTTGATGTTTTGGATCCTTTGTTTGTTAAGCAGTCTCACATTAAATCGGAACCTTCAGACGATTAAACTGAAACTTATTTATTAACTTTTTTGTATGTGTTTTATTATCTCTTTATTTCCGTGTGTATGTATATAATTTTTATTACATATTAAAATTAAACCAAGTTTTTCAGTGAATAAATATTGAAATAAATTTCAAACCTTGTTATTATCAAAAGTAAAAAAAGTTAAAATTAAACCAAAAATATAAATTTAGGCAAAATTGCTTAATATTAGTTTAGTTTTTTAAAATAACAAAATTTTTGGTTTAAGTGGAACTTTAGTGTTTTATTAAAATTTTTGTAAATTATTTCTAAAAGGTAAGTTTTATCCATTTATAAAATTTAACAATTTTTCAATTGCTCTTAACAAATTTGTTTAATAAAACTAGCTTTTAAATATTTCCCCTAACAATTCATTGCTTTAAAACTCTGCTCTTACATAAAATGTTTAAACCAACACAGTGCTTTCCAAACTATTACACACAAAATACCACTCTATAGAAAACCGTTAAATATTCAAATTTAAATTTGAATTTAAATTTCCACCGTACGGTATTGTTTACAAACATTTAATTCATTGAAAGAGAGTGAGAAAGAGGAAGAGAACCAAACAAAAATCATGAGAGCAAAACAGTGTGGTTAACTTTAGATGTAAAAAAGCCATAAAGCGAAAGCATAAACAAAATTTCAACAAAAAACTGTCTATAGTCTAGTCTATAGTCTAGTCTATAGTCTAGTCTATAGTCTAGTCTATAGTCTAGTCTATAGTCTAGTCTATAGTCTAGTCTATAGTCTAGTCTATAGTCTAGTCTATAGTCTAGTCTATAGTCTAGTCTAGTCTATAGTCTAGTCTATAGTCTAGTCTATAGTGTCTATAGTCTAGTCTAGTCTTAGTCTATAGTCTAGTCTATAGTCTAGTCTATATCTAGTCTATAGTCTAGTCTATAGTCTAGTCTATAGTCTAGTCTATTCTAGTCTATAGTCTAGTCTATAGTCTAGTCTATAGTCTAGTCTACAGTCTAGTCTGTAGTCTAGTCTATAGTCTAGTCTATAGTCTAGTCTATAGTCTAGTCTACAGTCTAGTCTATAGTCTAGTATAGTCTATAGTCTAGTATAGTCTATAGTCTAGTATAGTCT